CATATTTTTACAATAGCAGTTGAAAAATAAAAGAAATACAGTCACAATTTTTTTTGACAGTTATTCAAAGTTTGAATTTTGACAACATACGTAAAAATCACAAGTATACATATAATATATTTTTGTTCATTATCGCTAATAATTTCAGGACAACATGCAAATAATATTAATTCAACTTACTGACTACCGAATAATTAGTAAGTAATAATAATCTATGATATATCCTAGACAGATAAACCAACCGTCACCGCTCAGAATCGTTTTTCGTATAAAATGATATATCACTGGATAAAAATTTAATTCCATCCATTACAGTAACCTACTGTACAGCAGAGCGACATCCACGACTTACCCGCTTTTTTTTATATGTACTTAAGCGTAAAGTTGTATAATAATAAATGCATTGTTACACAGTCACATAATTATTTTCATAAAAATAACAAATATTTCATACTTYTAACATTTCACTAAATAAAAACTGTCAACAGTTATTATTTTTTGAAAAATTACCTAAGCATAAATACAGAAATAATCTTCATGGTTAATTAATATAATATCATGAGTATGATCTCAAAATCAATATATTATACGCGCATTGAATTTTAATTATAATATAATCAAAATATCAAAAACGAATTATCTAAAGTTTAGATTCCAATCAACCTGGATGGAGGTTACTAAGAAGGACTATAAGATCTTATTTTGAGGATTAATCTACTAATTGCGATACAAATGTCACCACGACATACTTGTAATAATATATTAATATAATAGGTATATAAATCTAGTAAAATGAGCAAAAGGCATAAAAAGTATTATATACAATGAATAAAAATTAAAAAATKWATTTCTTATTTCTTATCAATAGATCAAATTTATGACTATTTTTTTTATCTATTACAATGGCAACAATCGCGTTGCAATCTTGCATTTCATCTGCTTTTTTTATCTTTAATAGACTAGAAAGTACTATTCGAGTATATAGGTATGGAATATTACATAGGTATAGGCATTATAATTTATAATATATATTACCATATTGTCATATTGATAGTTCACGTGAATTAGCTTTATATTATATTGTTTATACAAAAATACACTAGAAAGTCATCGGAATATTAATTTTTATTTAAATTTTTTTATTATTAAATAAATAATAGTATAAATAAAAACCTCAGCAGTCATGACCATTTGTCTGGCAATATCTTTAATTATTACATTATTATATTAAATACATTTATAATACATTGCTTCAACTAAAGTCTAGTGCATATTTTGTTGCRTATATTAKGTTTTTTTTAGATTATTTTACTAACCGCCAAAGAACGAAGACAGTATAATTTCTTAACCACTACGGGCCGCAATTAAGATAAGAAGAATGAGAAAAGGTCACTTCAAGCAGCCATCGGGCGATATCATATATGGGCAATGTACTATACCAGCGGTTCTCAACCTTTTTATAGTCACGTACCACCTCCACAATTTGAAAATTTTTACGTACCACATGACAATTTTTTCGCTTATTAATAATGTATGCGTTTATGTTATATGCAGGGGTTAAAGTGGGGGGGACGCAGGAGGACTCAGTCCCCTTACCTCTGACGGCGGTTAAAAAGCGTCCCCTTTAACAAATTAGGATTTTATACATTAGACATTATACATGAAATTATATATGGAACGCTTAAAACTTTTTGGAAACATTAGTCCCCTCTGGAATTTTTTCCCACTTTAACCTCTGGTTATATGTATACAATTTTGTTAGTAAATTAATTTTTTATAAAGGTAGATTTTCTTCACGTATCACCTATGAGCTTTCCGCGTACCACAGGTTGAGAACCGCTGTACTATACTATACGTTATAATATTGTTCGCAGCGGTTACGATTTCCACGTCATTCGTCGGCGCGAAAAGAAACGACGACCGCGGCCTACTAATAATAAAGTATTACACTCACACCGTATTACATGAAACGCTATGGACCGTATTCCAAGTAACAGTGAGGTTCGTGTAAATAATTTTCATATCATGATTTATTAATTAAAAGATTCTACTAGTCACATTCAAATATAACCACCTGACTCACAGCGGAGCAGTGGAATATTTTCAAATATTTGGTATACTTTGATTGATAGCGGATCAAACCATAGGTATACGGTTTACACGGAATACAGAAACGCTGTAATTTCACCTCCTGTTAAGACGTTATACGTTGGTACCATAGAGTAATATTACTCTATGGTTGGTACCCCATGTGTCTTCAAATGTACAACATGACAAAAAATTTACTCTCTCAGTGTTCACAGTACGATTGGGAACCAAAATTCCGCAACGCATAGAGAAGAACTTTATCTTTATTCTGTATTGTTTACATTTCTTTGGTAGCATTAACCAATAATTTTTAATATATATATAACAACTTTATTAACCGGACTTTAACTAGATAAAAAAAATAAAACTGATAACTTTAATTGTATTCATGTCATCTAAATAATAGAAACGATATACGTTACAGACAAAGTTCTTCCCTATGCCGGAATTGTAGCATTTTGGTAATTCTATTTTAAATACAGAGGGAGTAAAGTCGCCCCACGATTAACTGCAGTCTTTGCTATACGTATGGTACATAATATGTGTAGGGGACAAAGACAACAATTATTTTTTATACGAATAATTTACGTTTTTTCAAAGAATAAGCCTCGTCCCAAATCCCGGTGGTCGAAGACCCGTCGATATTAATAGCCACAAGCCGCGCG